CTCTTGCCTTTTTCCTTTTACATTTTTTTTTCTTTTCATGATGACAGTGGTGAGGCTCTGCCTCCCCTGCCTGCATGTCCCTGCTTATGTGTATGTTAATTAATTATTGACAATTACAATTAGAAGCAATATTTTTTTCTGCAGGCTCCTGTATCTGTCAACCAGTTCTCCATTTCACATATGATGCTTCCTTGACAGCAGCCCATATTCACTCAACTTCTGCTCTTTATCTGACACATATCCTAATTCCCAGGCACTTTAAGAAGCTTTTAATAACTTTATTCTTGATGTGGTCCTCCCTTGTCACTTCAACACCATTTCTTGATAACTTTAAAATCATGGTTCTGATATTCCACAGGAACAAGCGGTGGGGAGTCTCCTTTATTTTACAACATTGCATTTTTATTATTTTGTATTTTATTGCTGAAATAAAAGAGTAATCCTTTGATTAATTCTGAGCCTGTACAGACTTGTTACATGCTGGTAGTTATTGAAATGGCGGTTAAGCATAATTTTTTGGAGTGTGGTCAATATATAATTTAAGAAAAATCTGTTTTATTTAAAGCAGATGTTCTTACAATTTTTCATATGCCTATCAATCTTTCCAAGTGTAATATGCTCCATATGTATGATAAATACGATTTTAATTCGTAGAATTATAGCTTCCTTTGTCTGTTGTTAGGAATTTTGGAAGTTGGCCCCAAAACATCTGTAGAACACCATGCTAAGGAAACTCCCTACCGTCAATGCTGATCATAGTTCTGCTTCATTGCTTGATCTCCGTTTGAAATGATTCTAGCCTAATTTTGTAAATGCTAAAACAGGGGTGTCGAACTCCAGGCCCACTGGCCGGATCTGGGTTTGACTCCCCTGTGCTAAAACAATAATAAATATAAGTCTTAATACATGGAAGACTTAGTAAAATCCTTGTTCATTTGTGCTGGAAAGCATAAACCCAAAAAGTTATGAGATGGAAGAATGGGTGTAAGTTGTCTGTGATATATTTACTCTTAACATTCGATTTATCCGTCATTGTTAACTATTCTCATTCTGAATATTGCAATCAATTAGCAGGTAACCAATAATATCAAATCAGACATAAAGTATTTATCAACTAGCTTTTTTTTTCAAGTTATAAAATACCGCAGCTTTTACACAAGAGTTTTAGAAGAAGAAAAAATGTTCAGGTCACATTTGCTTAATCTCCAATGTTTCATTTTTCTAACTTACATTCTGCTATCTGAAGAGTACAGTACACTCCACACATCTTTGAATAATGAAATTCATTTTAAAAAAATAGGCTACTGTATTTATAAAAGAATTAACTTTGTCTAGCCAGTAAGGAACGCTGAACTTTCCTGATTTCTGTACTGGAGCATACAAATTGTGAAGGGAGAGATGGGACATCAACTGCACTTTTTCCTTTGCTCCATTCCTTCAATCTTAAATACAATGTTTTGCAGCCCCGATAGGAGCTAAAGGGGAGGAAGGGACAGAAAACAAAGGAAGGGAAGAGATGCTGTTACCGCTACTACATCATCTTTTCCTCGGTTGTCACTTCATATTTAAACTTCATATTTAAGCTTCATATTCAAGCTCCGGCTCTCCTCAATTAGAGAGATCACTTTTTGCTGACGTTTAAGATGAGGTGAGGCCTGTGGGGCTTAAACTTCATAGACCCAGAAAGAGAGAGTGGGGGGGGGGAGAGAGGGAGGGAGGGAGAGGGCGTGAATTTTCTCACTTTCTCCCACCTCCCCTCAATTTTCACAGCTGCAGATGTTGGATGTTGGGACCCAGAGTTTTAACTCTGTCACTTCTTTCTGTATTTAAATCAGGGGTGCTAAACCCCTGTCGTCACGTGACGTATCGCGACTTTCCCCTCCCTTCGCTGAACCGGGGGTAGGCGTGGCCAGGGTGTGACGCATCCAGCCCACGGGTTTGACACCTCTGATCTAAATGAACATGTTTAATGGCTGATGACTGACTCACACCCACATCAGTGAGCCTGAAACACAAAGTTTGCTACACTATATTGCCAAAAGTATTCGCTCACCCATCCAAATAATCAGAATCAGGTGTCCCAAACACTTCCATGGCCACAGGTGTATAAAATCAAGTACCTAGGCATGCAGACTGTTTCTACAAACATTTGTGAAAGGATGGGTCGCTCTCAGGAGCTCAATGAATCCCAGGGTGGAATTGTGATAGGATGCCACCTGTGCAACAAATCCAGTTGTGAAATTTCCTCGCTCCTAAATATTCCAC